CAAAAGCTACCTCCTCCCGGACAAGCAGAGCAAGCGCAAGACGGCCGTGAAGAAGCGGAATCTGAACCCGGTCTTCAACGAGACGCTGCGGGTAAGGCTGTCGGGGCGCCCCCGTTCAGGAACCAGGCTCCCTGCCCGAGGGCTCAGGGGCAGGGGCGGCCACATGGGGTCATTGCCTGTCCCTCCCGTCCTGCATTCCGCGGGAGGAAGGGCAGGGAGCCCAGAGTGGTGGGCGCAGCGTCAGTTCAGACCCCCGCGAATGCCCTCTCCTCCGGGGTCCCCCGTTTTCCATCCTGCGGGGAACGCGGCAGGACCAGCCCCGCATTAAAGGCACCGCCTGTCCCCAGTACTCGGTCCCGCAGGCCGAGCTCGCCCGCCGCGTGCTGAGCCTGTCCGTGTGGCACCGCGAAAACCTGGGTCGCAACATCTTTCTGGGCGAAGTCGAAGTGCCCCTGGACACGTGGGACTGGGACTCCGAGGCCATCTGGCTCCCCCTGCAGCCCCGGGTGAGGCCACTGGTCGGTGGGACCCAGGGCACAGATCTCGTTTTCACCCGCGGAGCCTTCCCCAGCCCCGCAGACTCCACCTTCGCCGCTTTTCCTCGAGGCTCTGCCTGCCCTCCCTGCTCACAGCACCCATCGGTGTCCGGAGGCTCCACCCCGTCCCTGTCCCTTGTGGCCTCTTTGCCTTGGGTCCTGTCCCTGCTCCCTGACCAGCCCCTCTCGCAGGTTTCGCCCTCTCCTGACGACCTTCCCAGCCGTGGGAGGCTCTCTCTGTCCCTCAAGTACGTCCCCGCTGGCTCTGAGGGTGAGTGGTGCCCAGGAGAGACCACGCTGGCCTGGCCCTGGGAGGTGGGGACTCCTGTCCACAAGGGGGGGGGCTCTGTCCGTGGGTCGAAGCCTGAGCCGGCCTTTCCGCAGGCGCAGGACTGCCCCTGAGCGGGGAGCTGCACTTCTGGGTGAAGGGAGCTCAGGACCTGGTGCCTCTTCGTTCCGGATCCCTGGATTCTTACATACAATGGTGAGGGGCCCTGGGAGCTCCCCACCTTTCCTTTTGCCTGGAGTGGAGCTCCCCACCCCCTTCTGATTGCCCCCCCCCTCCTTGATCCCCTAGTCTGGGCTTTGACCTCTGAGCAGGGCGAAGCGGGCAGCTTGAGGCCAGAGAGTTGAGTACACCTTTAAGGACTGCATTCAGTGGCTGGCACCTATAGGACTTGTTGGAGAGCTGAGGCTGAGACCTGGGGGTTCACAGGGGCCCTTCCACGGAGATCCTGTAGGGCCAGGCTGTGGGGCCTGCAGTTCTGTGGTTTTCAAAGTAAGCTTTGGGGTAGCTCTGGTGGTGTCCCCAGGTTCTGCCCACCCTCAGGGAGTGAATGGAGGTAGGCCGAACAGGTTCTGAGATCCCAGCCCTGACTCAACCAGGCATTGTTTTTCTCTTAGGTTTTGTACTTCTGAGCAATATTTTATCTTGCAGAAAGGGCCCCACGGCTTTAAGAAGTTTGGAAATTACTCTGAGGGACAGCAGGGAGTCATGAAGGTCTTTGAGTTGGGGAGTAGCAGAATGCCACTTCAGAGCCATTACTCACAGGAGACCTGGGAGGAGGGTGGTGCAAAAGTCCTAGGGCATCGAGGGTTGGAGGCCAGTTCTCAGGCAGGAGCCAGAGGACGTGGAGAGTGCGCGGGAGGACAGGTTAGTGCTGGAGAGCGTAAAGGGGTGGCCGTTTGATGCCAGCCCACCTCCCCCACAGCTCGGTGCTGCCTGATGACAGCCGGGCCAGCCGCCAGCGGACAAGGGTGGTGCGAAGGAGCCTCAGCCCCGTGTTCAACCACACCATGGTTTATGACGGCTTCCGGCCTGCTGACCTGCGCCAGGCCTGCGCTGAGCTCTCCCTCTGGGACCATGGGGCCCTGGCCAGCCGCCAGCTGGGGGCCGTACGCCTCAGCCTGGGCACCGGTAAGTGGGCAGGACCCTCGGGGGCAACCAATGCTGGGAGGCAGGGGCTTCCTGAGTGGCCTTGGGCATTTTTCTTTTGTGAGCTTTGGTGTCAGTGCGTAATCTGGGACCAGGCAGGTGTTCCTTGGGACCTGGGTGCCTAACGTGACCATGACCTCCACCCTTGCCCAGGCAGCAGCTACGGGCTCCAGGTGCCCTGGATGGATTCCACACCTGAGGAGAAGCAGCTGTGGCAGACACTCCTGGAGCGACCATGCGAGTGGGTGGATGGCCTTCTGCCCCTCCGAACCAACCTGGCCCCCAGGACATAGGTGCCTGACAAGCCTTGGCAAACCTCTCTCCGGACCCCCATCTCAGGGCCTGCCCTTAGTGGAAGTCAATAAAGTCTATTCTAAGGGCAACGAGGGGCTGTTTTCTTGGGGTTAGGGGGATGGGGTGAGGGAAGTGCAGGGGGCCAGGTGAAGGCACTTTAGATTCAGACATTAAGACCTGAGAGAGCTGGCCCCAAGACCCCCACATACCTCAGAAGTTGCCAAAGCCCAAAGGTACAAAAGTGTTCTGTTTAATAGTCTTTGTCCGGTGGTACTCAGTGAACTTGGGCATCTCTGTGGCTGGACTGCCCCTACCGCCACCTGGTCCCTTCCAGTTGCCCCCGGGCCCTGGGGTGAGTGTGTCAGAACTTGCTGGCGTCTTCTCCAGTCACCCGTCCTTGGGTCTGGCCTCTTGCCTCCGGTGCCCTCATTCTGCCTCCTGGGCACCAGGGGTAACAGCCGTGGATCCTGCTCGCTGTGCCAGGATGGCTCTCCAGATGCGGCATGCCATCCCTCCCCTGGGGGTAGCAAATTCACTGTGGCTCAGCCAGAAGACCCTGGGCTCTCTGATACCCACTGTCTGCCTAATGCCCCCTCGGTCCCCAAGGGAGCCTGGTGTCCATGTGGTTTCCAGAGAGGAAACCAGGCAAGCCTGTAGCGGGGGTCGGGATCTGACCAGCACGATCCCATACGCATGGGTCATCCTGGAGGGCGCAGGGCATACCTGATGCGGGTGTAGGTGAGGTCATCTTTAGTGGCGCAGGTCAGTAGGGCCTGGAGGGTGAAGCTGTAGTTCAGCAGCTGGTTGTGGACAAAGATGCCCACACAGAACAGGGAGAGATTAAAATTAGAGAAAGATGTGTCCAGAGAATCAGACCCTAGTTCTGTTTTACTACCAGCATGCTAGGGCAGATCCCCCCCACCCCCCGCCCCCATGTCTGGGCCTCAGTTTTTTCATCTTACAATGGGAGGGGAATCCTAACTGTGCCTCTAATGTTGAGATTCTCTGTATCAGAGGGGAAATGTGAGAAGAGCTGAAAGGGGCAGAGGTGGAGTTTGGGTTGGTAGAGGTCATGTGTAGCCAGCACTCTCTCCCTCACTCTCTGGATGGTGCCTGAATCCACGTCCAGTTCCTGTAGCCACTGCACCAGGCCCTGGTCCACTGTTCGAGCAGCTGTCAAGGAGAAATCAGGTGAACCCAGGGGTGCCTCCTGCCAGAAGCTGTCTCCCACCGCCATCAGTGTCCTCTGCTCACCTGGGGGCCCTGAGGCCAGGGAGCAGGTCCAGGCCTCCTCGTCCACCCGCTGTAGAGCCTGTTGCATCAGAGCCCGGCACTCCCACTCCTTCTCTGCCAGGACATCGCGGAGCCTGTTGGATGGCAGAAGGCCAGTAGGAGGGAGGGGGGAGCTGGGGTGACGCTCACACAGAGGCTAGGGATGGGTCCCAGGGGGCTTACCGATCAGTCTCTGCTCGCAAGAGGCCCAGCTGCACCATCAGAGGTGGGGGGCTCTGCTCGGGTTCCCCTGGGAGCAGGCTTGGCTGGACTGGGGTGTCCTGCTGCTTGGGCAGGGGCTCCTCTTTACTGGACTCCTCTGACCTCTGTGGGACTGCATCCTTCTCCACTCCTGCCCGTCAGAGTGAGGTGAGCTCAGGCCGGGCATTTGGGACCCTCGGACACGGGCAGAGGGCGTGGGGAGCTCTGCACTGGCCGGGGGGTGTCAGTCCGGGAGATGTCTGTTTGGTCACTCCCCCACCCACTGCTTCCTGGCCTGGGCCAGGCCTGGTGATCACACCCCCTGCCAGCTCCATTTGTGTTCCCCACGCCTCCAAGGGCCATGCCCTCATCCACAGACCGGCCATCTCAGCTCCTGGCCTACCTGGGCTCAGCACCGCCAGGGCCCCCCGGACAGCGCGGCTGAGCAGCGAGTCCAGCACGAACATCCAGTGTGGGCGGATCTGGCGCCTGCGGAGAATCCGCTTCACCTGGGAGGGAGGGTGGCGCCGCTCAGACTGCTAAGCCTCAGGGAGGTGGGGCTGGCGTTGGAAAGGCCCAGAAAGTCTGCCTGAAGCAAGTCGGGTGGACCGGCTTGGAGTCAAGGGAGGGGCTGGCAAGCTAGGGCTGCGCAGATGTCCCTCCCTGATGGCTCTATCGTCACCGAGAAGACATGGAACCTTTCAACATCGAGACCTTGCACAGGGAGTTCACGAGCTGTTCTTGGGCAGCCCTGTGAGAAAACTCACTCACCGCATCGGGGAAGGCAAAGAGTGGTCTGTGCAGAAGTGCAGGCTCAAGGCCCTGGGCCCGCAGCTGCCCTTGCAGTGCCCGCAGCTCCTGGGCCAGCTGCCGGCGGTTGGGTGTGTGGATGTGCGCCCCGAGGCAGTGCAGTAGCTGTTCCACAAGATTCCTGTCCAAACGGGGGTCCTGAGAAGGAAGGTGTTTCCATTTGAGCCAAGAGAGATGCCGGCAAGGGGCTGGGGTTGGGGAAGGCCATTAGCCGGAGTCCTGCCGGTGCTCTGCCACCAGGGGGCGTGGGGGCGGGCCGCCCACCTGGTCCTGCTCCAGCCACAGATTCTCCGCCAGCGTGGGCAGCTCCTGCTTCAGCACCTCGGCCAGCATGGCCCGGCGCCTGCTCTCTTGATGCAGCAGGCTCAGCCCCGAACTCTCCTCCGGGGACGCGGGATCTTCGGCTCCGGGCTCCTCGGGCACCCTGGGTGCAATGGGGAGCGGCCAATGGAGGGCGGGCGGCAATACTGACCAGCTACCTCCGCCCCAGGGTTTGGATCCCGGCTGTGGCTTTGACTCTCAGGCCTCTCTCACAGGGATAAGAGAGAGACCTGGCACCCTAACGAAATACAAGTAAGACTCAGCCTGGACTCCTCTGACCTCTGTGGGACTGCATCCTTCTCCACTCCTGCCCGTCAGAGTGAGGTGAGCTCAGGCCGGGCATTTGGGACCCTCGGACACGGGCAGAGGGCGTGGGGAGCTCTGCACTGGCCGGGGGGTGTCAGTCCGGGAGATGTCTGTTTGGTCACTCCCCCACCCACTGCTTCCTGGCCTGGGCCAGGCCTGGTGATCACACCCCCTGCCAGCTCCATTTGTGTTCCCCACGCCTCCAAGGGCCACGCCCTCATCCACAGACCGGCCATCTCAGCTCCTGGCCTACCTGGGCTCAGCACCGCCAGGGCCCCCCGGACAGCGCGGCTGAGCAGCGAGTCCAGCACGAACATCCAGTGTGGGCGGATCTGGCGCCTGCGGAGAATCCGCTTCACCTGGGAGGGAGGGTGGCGCCGCTCAGACTGCTAAGCCTCAGGGAGGTGGGGCTGGCGTTGGAAAGGCCCAGAAAGTCTGCCTGAAGCAAGTCGGGTGGACCGGCTTGGAGTCAAGGGAGGGGCTGGCAAGCTAGGGCTGCGCAGATGTCCCTCCCTGATGGCTCTATCGTCACCGAGAAGACATGGAACCTTTCAACATCGAGACCTTGCACAGGGAGTTCACGAGCTGTTCTTGGGCAGCCCTGTGAGAAAACTCACTCACCGCATCGGGGAAGGCAAAGAGTGGTCTGTGCAGAAGTGCAGGCTCAAGGCCCTGGGCCCGCAGCTGCCCTTGCAGTGCCCGCAGCTCCTGGGCCAGCTGCCGGCGGTTGGGTGTGTGGATGTGCGCCCCGAGGCAGTGCAGTAGCTGTTCCACAAGATTCCTGTCCAAACGGGGGTCCTGAGAAGGAAGGTGTTTCCATTTGAGCCAAGAGAGATGCCGGCAAGGGGCTGGGGTTGGGGAAGGCCATTAGCCGGAGTCCTGCCGGTGCTCTGCCACCAGGGGGCGTGGGGGCGGGCCGCCCACCTGGTCCTGCTCCAGCCACAGATTCTCCGCCAGCGTGGGCAGCTCCTGCTTCAGCACCTCGGCCAGCATGGCCCGGCGCCTGCTCTCTTGATGCAGCAGGCTCAGCCCCGAACTCTCCTCCGGGGACGCGGGATCTTCGGCTCCGGGCTCCTCGGGCACCCTGGGTGCAATGGGGAGCGGCCAATGGAGGGCGGGCGGCAATACTGACCAGCTACCTCCGCCCCAGGGTTTGGATCCCGGCTGTGGCTTTGACTCTCAGGCCTCTCTCACAGGGATAAGAGAGAGACCTGGCACGGAGGAGGCACCCTAACGAAATACAAGTAAGAGCAATTGGGAGGAAGGCACCAAGCGCCATTCTTGCAAGTGGTCCAGGTGCCCAGGTCCGTGGAGAGGGCTTATTCTGGAGGGAGTACAAGGACAAAACCAGATAAAGTGAACCTGCCCCAGGACCCTGGGCTCTCACCGGAGCTGGCTGGTGTCCCCATAGCTGAGGCAGCGCTTCGGGGGACTAGGCGGGTGTTGAGAGGGTGCCTGAGGGCGTGGGAATGTCTGGGACTGGGTGGTGGAGTCCGCTGAAGGAAGAGGGCTGGCTGAAGGGGCATCTGAGGGAGGGACAGGGCTGTCAGCCTGGGCCCGCGTCAGCCCTCAGCTCCACAGCCCTCTGCCCTCACTCCAGTGTGCACCCCTCTCCACCCATGCAGTACCTGGGGGCCGGGGAGCATGCTGGGGTGAGCCCGGGCTTCGGCTCCTCTTCCCAGGCTGCAGGAAGGGGTCCCCCAGCAGTGCTTGGGCACTGGCACGGCGGCAGGGGTCTGGCTCAAACGTTCGCAGGAGGAAGGCTTGGGCCTCCGCTGACAGAGAACTGGGCATTGGCGGATGTACCTTGTACATGCCCACCTGGGAGGGGGCCGGGAGGGAAAACAAGAATTAAGTTTAGAGGCGTGTAAGGGCACCATCTGTCCCCACCCCACCTGCTGAGCCAGGGCCTGAGGGGACTCACCTGAAACATGGCCGCCTGTGGGCTCCCGAGCTCGTGGAAGGGTGGGCGACCTGTGGCCATCTCGATGACAGTGCAGCCCAGCGACCAGATGTCAGCCGCTTTCCCGTACCCGCGTGGGCCCTGGTCAATGATTTCTGGGGCCATGTACTGTAGGGTCCCTAGGCCAGGAGCAGTGGTAATAATGCTCACCGAGGCTTTATCGCTATGGAGCGGCAGGGGCTCTCTCCTCCTTTGGCCGCCTGTACCCACCCTGAG